GATTACAACTGAGCTTCGAGCTATAACAGAATACTAAATAGGCTAAAGCACCGTGGGAACAGGTCCCTGGAGGCACGTGCTAATGCATATTATAACAGGTATCTTAAGTAAGAGGAAGTACAATGAGTTGTGTTCCTCAGAAATGTTTGAATTTGATCTTCCCACGGGAAAGCAAAGGTGAACAGAGTTCAAAATAGGTTGTAAGGTGCCCTCATCAGTACTTGATGAAATTCATATCAGAGCAAGAGATTGGGACCCTTCACAATATACCTCAGGCCAGGGCCAATAGTGAAATTGAGAAGGAAAGTGAAGATGTCAACCAGAATCTCTTACCACTTGTAGCCGGTCATTTTACTGACTTAGAAGAGCGTTTGTTACAAATGGCTGATTTGTATCTTCATATTGACAGTCACAGGCCAAATTTTCTGAATTGGTTTGGAAAGGAAAACGGCAATTTTTTAGTGGCAATTGGAACTGATGGTGCTCCTTTTGGAAAATGTAACAAGGCATGTGCTTGGCTGGTTTCCTTTTTAATGTCACAGAAAGAGTATCAAGCCCTTATGACAACTTCCTAATTTGTGGTGGTAACTGTGGTGAAGGTCACCTATCAATGAGAGAGTAAGACAAACTTCTAAGATCTCAGATCAGTGTTTTGGAAAAGAAAACATCCACTGTAAAAGATCAAAAGGTAAATTTTACCTTCAAGCTTGTCCCTTCTGATATGAAATGGCTGAGTAAATTTTCAGGCGAAATAAGTAATGCAGCTACATACCCAAACCTCTCAGCCAATGTAAATCAGAAAGATTTGTCAGAAAGAGGGTGTACTCTCGGCCCTGGTCCAAGAGATAAATGGAAACCTTGGGCTTATGATTTTAGAATGAAGGTTGCTTACAAAGTTGCTAACAAACCTTTTTTCACTAATATAAATCTCCTTGTTTTTCTGATCACCTCTGTGAAAAAGTTATCGTTGTAGTTATTTTTGTTAATTTTATATGAATTTTCAAAGTTGCAAAATTTGGCCCTTTTTACTCCCACCACCAAGCAATTGGAAGAATGGGCTCTAGTTATCTGTGACATCATCGAAGGACAACAACTCGTGTAAAAGCAAAGGAATCGTGGGCCATGATAGTCATTTGTGTGAGAAAGAAGCTTTGTTATGCCTGATAGATGTGTAGTGTATGGCTGCAGCAAAACAGCAAACCCTGACAGTGGAATTGGCCTGCATAAAATTCTGTTTTTTGGAGATGAACATCCAGAATGCATTAGAAGAAGAAAGAAATGGGTCGACTTTGTGCTTCACAGATGGCCCTATTGGAAACCTATGAACCGTTCGAAGATCTGCTCTCTGCACTTTAGAAGGGAGGATTTTTCCCAGATGTTTACTGCTCTTCCTGGGCAAAAAAAGCCAACACCACCGAGGTTGATGGCAGACGATCTTGGGCCGTGTGCCTTCCCAACAATTCAGGCAAACGACCCTGAATTCGGGAAGATAGACTGTTCGCCTTTGACTTTGCTGAAAAGAACAAAAAGAATGGTGAGATATAGAAGTTAAAAGTAATCCTGACTGGATATGAAACTGCTCTGCTTGTGTCATGAATAGTCAAAAGTTCGTAGTCTTGATTATACATTTTCGTTTCCCGTAGGTTGTCAAAGATGAGATGGAGAAGAATGAAAAAACCGAGGAGCCCAGACGTGGCAAAAATTCCGCAAAAGGTGACACCCACGTGGAAACCATGAGCTTACCTGAGTGCTCCTCCGAATATGCTGCCTTTCCGAAGGAATCTCCCATGGATCAGCAGATCTATTTAAATACTCCCATTGTCAGCACTGAATCTCTTAAAAGCTCAAACTTGAATATAAATACGTTCCGATCAGAGAGTATTTATATCCATGAAGAAGCCTCCAATGACTTGGATGCAGAGAGAACAAAATCAAGTGAACTGCTGAAGAACAAAATCAGGATACTAACGAACAAAGTTAAGCTGCTTCAGTCCAAGTTGTCTAAACACAGGGAAGACAAGAAGAAAATAAAGCGAGTAAAGCGAAGGCTTGGTAAGAGCGTTACTGTAATATATTTGGAGAGCTTATACCTAAATGCTTATACGTGTGGTTCTAGGTGCCCTGTCAATCACCACTCATGTTTGATTTAGAAAATTATACCAGCTCGGCCTGGCAATTTATCTAAATATGGGCATGACTTTCCTATTATTTGCCTCTCTTGATTATGTTCATGTAATTGCAGTTGTCTATTTCAAGGAGAATAGGTACCTCTGGTGTACGGGTACAACATGTAAGTGCCAGATTAGTCCCCGCCAAATTTTGTTTTTCTGTAATCAAAATTACAATAGTCTGGAGGTGTGTAGCATAAAGAGAGTTAATGGTATCTATTTATACCTCATTTTTCCTTGCATCAGAGAGTAGTTTGCAGTATCACACATGAGAAACGGGTGATGAAATTAATTCAAAGGAAATAAAAGATGAGAATGGTGATAGGGAGGATGACAAGGAAAACTTGGTTTCTGCATGTGAGGAGGCAGACTCAGAAGAAGAAAGTACATGACACTGAAACAGACCAGACCACAGAAACAGAGACAGGAAGAAGACTGCTAAAAAAACCTGATCTGTAAGTGAAGTTAAATATTCGACAAATAGTTGAGATCACCAGTCTCTAGTCTAGATAGAGACATGGGTAACTCGCTTTCTATTCTGTGCCCTCATCAACTATCACGCCTTATAGTTCATCACTAAATTTTCTCCAATTCTTATTGGTTTAAATTGATCATGTGATGCAATAGTGTTCATCTGCAGAGAGACACTATCAGCCCATAGTGCCAGTCCAAGGAAAATACCCAGATTGAAAGTACTCATCCATGACAAAATGTTCTGTAAACAAGTGACCTTTTGGAAAAAATAACTGAAATTTTATTAAGTGGGTTTTGTTTATTTTCCTTTTTACATTTTACATCTGGCTTTCACCG